TATAATAAATACAATAGTCACAAACTATGGGTCTCGCAAATGCTTTATTTTTTGACAAAAATTGTCACGTGATTAAAAAAATTCTAACGCTCAATAAACTTCCCGACGTTGATCTGTATATGTGTGAAGTTTCAATATTATCACCTTAATGGTTCCAGAGTAATCGCCAATCTTACTCGGTCTAATTTTTTTGAAGATCTTTATATTTGGAATCAATTGCTAGGCTATTGCCATCAATCGATGTGATCTCTATATCATTATCTTTGTCAGTGATTTTTGATTTCGGTATTTGATTGAATCGCACATAACTCGTGGGAAAGTGTCCCACTTTGTTGTCACATCTTCCCCGACCCCATTCCTCGTCGATCATCTCTATATCAGTGATCAACTCATTCATATCAAAACTAATGCCATCCAAATCGACCGCTTTGTAGTCATACAGAGCCTTAGCGGTCAGTCCTATCGGCGAACCGCTATTTTGTTTCTCTGCGTCGGACTCGGGATTAGTCGTCGCTTTAGTTACTACTTGTTGTCTCTCTTTCTCGGCCGCAGTTGAGGCCATAATCTCTTGTTTCTCGCGCTCCAGACGTCTGTCCCTCTCCTCATCGGCTCTGCGTTTAACAACCATTTTTTCATTTCGGCCCATATTTTTTATCCTCGCATTCAAACACTGATTATTTGTGCCCACATTTCCCACACGTTTAGCCAAATGATTGCCAACACTTTCTAACCCGTGTTTTTCGTTTGACGGGTTAGATAATGACTCAATAAAATTGCTCGTTTGGTTTCCAGACATTTCATCTAAAGATTTAGTGGAATCGGGTTTTATACGATGGTTTGTAGACATATTGACACCATTTCCTATTCTCACGTTTTCATTATTAGTAATATGAAAAATAATAATATTTGATGTATTTTTAGGGTCCTGTGTTTTCCAAAAATTAAATTCGAAAAATTTTACATAAAAATATATAAGAATACAATTTATTGTACAAATCATAAAATATATATTTAATATACAGAGCATATATTGGCGCCGTCAAATTATTTGTGCCCCTTTGCACGTGAGAGATCGGGCTCATATTGAGATTCAGTTAAGTTTGTTTATACATGCAAATATATTCATAACTAACTTTAACTTTATTTAAATTATATAACAAAATAATATATAAAAATTATTTATGTTTAGTAATATAAAAACAAATGAAAAGTTTTTTTTACATTTTTTACAGTTATTGAAAAACACATTCAAGTAATGAGAACTAACTGTATCTCAATGCGAGCCTCACTTTTACGTGTATAGCGACAAAAATAACTTCACAGCGCTTTTATAATGATAGCTGTCTAGCTCTGTATGAATTAGTATAAATTAATATCTTACCATGTTGTCATTTGGTGGGTTGAATTTGTTAGTAAAGTTATTAAATAATTTACAATTTAAAATTGACTAAAAAATTTTTGTTTTTAGTATTTTTAAGTTCTTCTAATATTATCGCATAGTTTTTGTTGTTTGTCTGAAGTAACTAAACGTTAATCTATTGAATACTGGTTATTGTCGTTGATTACTTCGCATGTGTAAAGCCATTTCCTTTAAGTTTTAACTTTTCAAATGTTTTTATAAAAGTACTTTTGTTTGACGTATTATTTAAAGCTGTGAATTAATATTAAACGACAATTTTTAAAATATAAAATAAGTTTTGAATGTCACTATGTTAAAATATAAGTTATTATTAAAACATATTGTTATTTATGATATTACCTGTTGATGGTATATATGCAGCCATTTTGTGATAATATTATTATTAGTTTTATAATTTCAACTTAAGGTGTAGTAATAATTATAGACATTATAAAACCTTTAAACTTTAAATATAAAATATTACCATTATACATTTGCTCTCATATTATTTATTATAAAATATATTAACATTAAATTAATAAGCACTCTTTCACTAAACACTTATTTAAAAACTAAAAAATAATTAAGTCGTTAATAAAAATCAATCTTGTGGTTAAGACTTGTTATAATCAGTTAAAGCAATCTAAACATAGATATAACTGAAAATAAAATGATAATAACTATAGTTTTATTATCTCATTAATTATTGACAATTAAAATAAAATTTATTAATAAAATGTCAAATGGTATAAATTTTTAAAAACTTTAAATAATTTAAGATATATGAAAAATTAAGCAAAAGATTTTCTCACAAGATAAAATTAAATATATTTATTAATAAGCAAATATAATAATTCAAATTACATATTACTCTTCATTGCCTCCAATTATTAAACTGTTTTCGAGTAGGAGTTTAATGACTTTCCATATAAATGATTGCTTTGGCAAACATAATATTCAGTGATAACTCATTCAAACACTACTTGTAATATAATTTTTGTAATAAAGGCCTGACTGTTGAGAAAGATTAAAACAGTTATCAGTGAATAATAACAGGAATTGGTTGGGTGTGAGAATTAGGCATCAATATCTTAATATGATTTAGGGTGGCTTGAAAAATAAATTAATTCCAAATATGGACATACTTCTTTGCATATAATAAAAGTTATTTATATTAGGTAGCAGACCAAATTACGCCAGATTTATGACCCATAGTCACCGATAATACAGCCAGACTATTTTTTAATTTGTTTGTTAATAAAGATGAAGTTTTAAATGAGTTTATTAACTCATAGCGACCTAGCTCCTTCTTCTCAAGTTGAGAGACAGTCCTCCTTAGTATTGAAGTTCAATGTAATTTTTGACTCACCTTGGTAAATTTGACTTTTAATCAATCAAGACATTGAAAATTATTAATCAGCCAATACTCATTAGTATAACAAAAATTTATTGTAATATGAATCTCAATTGGCCTGCGAGTTACTCGCAGCGGGAATTATCATGCCTTAATGATTAATACTTTCCCTATAGGGTAGTATGGTTGGTGAATACTAAGAAATTATAAATTAAATTAGACATAAATTATCATAAATTAGAATTTAAAAATAACATTGTTTCATAATACAACTAATACAGAGTGAAATATTCAACAACACCTAATTATTGACTGTTTGTTAGAAAATGAACTATTGACATTCTACATATCAAAGTTTTAAACAACACGCGTCAATTTTTTTTTAATGAAATATCTATTTTTCATTATTTTAATATATACCATATTTTATTGTTTAGGTATTACAAATTAGTATAATTGATAAACAACTAATTGAAAAACTGTGTTTCACAGAGTGTTTGGGCCAATCACCAGTACTGCATTGCTATATGCTGTATGGGCGCAATCACAAAAATGGTCATATTTCGGTCGTTTATGGATATCAGCCCGAAATATAAATTTATGTTTTTTTATTTGGCCTAAACTACAATTTAAGACTAGTTTCATCAAGATCCGTGTTATGTAAGACTTGTACTTCACTTGTGAGATAAATGGATTCGTTTAATTGTGTGAGCAAATGTAATTGTTAGTATTATACATTAAAAATAAAATAAATTACATTTTACAATTAAAAGACCAATATATGCAATCTACTAACGGTAGAATTCTTTTTATCATCAACTCTAATTAGTTTAAACTAAGGCCAAATATCTATGTTAATACAGATTAGTTGACAAATTAGAAATAAACTTAACATTTAGTATAGAGAGAATGTAATTTAGTGTAAGCTAATAGCATAGAGTAGGTGATAGCATAAATATTCTACTAATACTCAATCATTATAATTATTTGTTGTGATAGTGTGTCGTTGACTGATTGACCACATCATCTAAATGCAACATTTTATTATTAGTTATATTAATACTAATTGCTTGACCAGAATTAGTTGAGCCAACTGCTGAGGGTGTTTGCTATATTATAGAATTATAGAATAGAAGTAATTAATAAAGATATTAATTAATACCACTTTAATAATAAATATATCATTATTATCATAGGTTATTAATTAAATTGGTTAAATGTGTCTTACCATGTTGTTAGTACTTGGGATCCTACGTTCACTCGAACTGGTACTTAGGTTGGAAGTTGGAACCTGGCTAGTTTGTAATTTACACATAAACAACTCGTTGAAAAATGAGTTTGTAGTAGCTTTAAGTGTATTCAATGTTTTATTCAATTCCCTATCATTTTCATTAATGATTTGTCTGCCGACTGACCACTGATTGTAGTTGTCGAGTACTCGACCACTGATCGGCCGATTGGATACAACTGAATGAGACATTTGGCCAATGATTTCGTATAATTTGTTGAAATTGACTGAAAATACCGTTGAATTGTATTTTTCTGTCGGATTTTCTCTAAGAAAATGTTTATAAAAATACATTAAAATTAAAAATATTGATAATTTTTATTGACATACAAATTAAATAAATCAAACAAATGAAATGCAATCACTCCCAAGCTATAGATGTCAACCTTAATGCTATATCTGGATTGATATACTTCTGGTGTATTGTGCAGAACCGACATTAGAGGTTCTTTGTCGACTCGGTTCATTATTGACTCATGGATGTCATTGTCATGTCGTGGAAAGTGGCGGAACCGAAGTCACAAAGTTTTAGAAACCGATTATTATTACTATTTTGTGAAATCAATACATTTGACGGTTTGAGGTCCCGATGGATAACCGGTGGACACGAGTCGTGCAAATACTTCACACATTCTAACAGTTCTTTAAGTATTTCGCAAGAAATGAAATACTCGTATACTTTCATCGGCTCTTCCGGTTGTCTCCCAAACACAGTGTACTTATTAGCGATAATCGTATGTAGATTTTGTGTATAAAAATCCATTTGAATATACAGTAGATTGTGTTCACGCCATGAGTTGCGGTAATTTACCACAAAATCTGAGCGCAATTTAACTAAATTTTGCACTTCTATTAGGATTTCTTGTCGTTTGTGTTCGTCATAAGTGTCTGTAATTAATGTCAATTTTAAGCAAACATAACATATGATTGTTTTAAAAGGATTTAGTTATATTAAATAAAGTAATATGTACTTACCAAGAAACTTTACTATTTTCACCGCAGATTCTTGCCCTTCAATTCTGTGTCTCACGTGATATACCTCTCCGAACCCACCCCTCCCTATATGTGACAACTTTTCAAAATTATTGCCAAAAAAGTTTGATTTCTGGTCAGAAACTGTTTACAAACATAATATAAATGTTAAAATATAAATTAAAATATATTGTTATCTATTACCTGTTGATGGTAAATATGCAGCCATTTTGCTGATAATATTAATATCAGTTTATTAAGTTCAAATTAAGGTGTGGTAATAATTATAGGCTTTATAGAACTTTTAAATTTTAAATATCAATTATGAACATTATACATTTGCTCTCATATTATTTATTCTAAAATATATTAACATGTTTAATTAATTATACTTTAAATTGTCTGAATAGAGCGCTCTTTCATTAAACACTTATTTAAAAAATACAAAAATAATTGTGTTGTTAATAAGACTAAACCTTTTGGTTAACACTTATAACAATCAGTAAAAGCAATGGAAACAGAGATTTAACTGAAAATAAAGTGATAATAACTATAGTTTTATTGTTTCAAAAATTATTTACAATTGAAACAAACACTCACTAAATGTGTGTTAAAACCTAAGAAAAAATAGTAAATATTAAATATTTGATTTTTAAAACAATGTCAAAACAATTCAAATACAGGCAATTCATTGCAAATAATACGATAATATATAATTTATTGTTTATTTTGTTTGAATAAAACATAATATTCATTAATTTAATATTTTGTTTTTAATCTATGAGATTATAGATCTCATAGATTATATCACAATTTATTTATTATTTATCTCAACACAAATTTTGTTTATAAAATGTTTGCATTTTTCTTTAAATTGTTCAAATGTTTTGTAATTATAATCTTTATAATCGCATAAATGTATTGTTTTATAATTCATTAGCAATTCATTTAAATAGTAATCAAAAGCATTCGTGTAATTAGTTTCACACAATTTAAATGAATCATTCATTTCATATATTTTATTATCACTCGATTTATAGATTAGACAAAATAACCACTTTTGCCATGATACGAGGAGATATAAATTGAGCATGCTCACACCATTATTAAATAGCAATTTGTCCACTGATTTCTGTATTGAATCGACTTTATTATTGTAGATATAATCCCCACAAAAATACACAAATCCGTCGTTTGTAAGAAAGTAAGTTTGCGTTTCATTCGAAGAAACCGTTTGAATATTAAACAAATTATCAATTATTTGTGGTTTGAATACATTATCCGTTATATTGTGTCCCAAATGGCACTTATTTTCACCCCAACTGAAGACTCGGCCATCAGTTGTGACGGCAAATGAGGAATTCAGACAACAATAAACACCACGTATTTTATATCCAATCCCATTGTCTATGAATTCAATTTTCATTGGATTTATTATATCACTTGTGTGCTGTTCCCCACAACCGAGTTGTCCTAACTCATTATTACCCCATCCGTAGACACAGTCATCTCCGGTGACCACAAATAAGTTAAAAGCACCACAACTTATATCACGGATAACAGGATTATTAGGCAATGATATGACGACTGGTTTTAAGTAATCAAAAATCGATGAACGGCCTAACTGTGTCCTAACATTACGTCCCCAACCATGTATACAGTTGTTATTGTTGATTGATAAAACAAAATCTGCACTAATAATAAATTGTTGTATATTTTGATGACATAATTCTTGTATAACATGTAATGTATTGACAGCTTTATTGTGTCCTAAACCGAGTGATCCGTAATAATTAGATCCCATGCCGTAAACCGTATCATCGTTTGTCACAAACAATAAATTTAATCCTTTGCTGTCATCGAAAACGTGAAATAATTTCATACAATTAATGTCTACTTTATTATCGATAGACTTATATTTGGGATCAATTGCTAGACTATTGCCACCAATCAATGCGATCTCTATATCATTTGCATTGTATGTTATTTCAGACGTCAGTCTCTCTGAATGAGTGTTTCCCTCTTCTCCGAAAATCCCTTCCGTTCCCTCAGTTCGTCCCATATTCTCTCCTTTATTTGTAACCACATTTCCCACACGTTTAGCCAAATCATTGCCACCCCTTTCTGACCCGTGCTTTTTGTTTGACGGGTTTGATAGCAATGGTTCGTTAAAATTGCTCGTTTGGTTTCCAGGCATTTCATCCAAAAGTTTATCGGAAACGGAATTTATTCGATTATTTGTAGACATATTGATAACATTTCCTATTCTTACGTTTTCATTATTATGAATATTAATAATAACATTTGATGTACTTATAGGTTCCTGTGTATAACAACAAATAAATTCAAAAAATTGTGCATAAAATATTAAAGAATAAAATATATTGTATAATTTAGTACCAAATAATCTCTTACCACGTTGTAATTGTGTGCATTGAATTTGTTAGTAAAGTTATTAAATAATTTACAATTTATAAATTGACTGAAAAATTTATTTTCAGAATTTCTAAATTTTTCTGATATTTCGCTAAATTTTTGTTTGTCTGAAGTAACTAAACGTTTATCGATTGACCACTGGTTATAGTCGTTGATTACTTCGCCACTGAAGGGCCGTTTGGCTGCTTTTGATTTACACATCTGTTCAACAATTTTTATCAATTTCTTAAAGTTTGTTAAAAATACGGTTGAATTATATTCGTTGATTTGATCACTGTTAAAGATATTTAATTAATTTAACATTCAAATAATTATAAACACTGTACAAATTAGATAACTTACACATTGAATAAATTAAACAAATGTTTTGCAATAATTCCCAAACTATAAATATCTACTTTTATAGTATATCTGGACTGAAATACTTCGGGTGCCATATATTGTGCTGTCCCTACAATATAGATGTTATTCATGGAGGTGTTGCTCATGGATGTGATTGTCATTTCATGATAAGTGGCGGACCCAAAGTCACCTAATCTTATGAATCCATTTGTATTTTTCTCAGCATTTCTTGAAATCAATATGTTTGAAGGTTTGAGGTCTCGATGAATGACTTGTGGTTCCGATTCGTGCAGATATTGAACGCATTCTAAGATTTCTTTAAATATTTCGCACGAAATGTAATATTCAAAGACATTCAACACTTCTTCCGGTTTTCGTCCGAAAACTTTGGGTTTAATATCAATAATCGTCTGTAGATTTTGTTCGTAATAATCCATTTGAATGTACAGATGATTGTCTTCTAACCACGAGTTGCGGTAAACTACCACATAATCTGAACGTAATTTTTTCAATTTTTCCACCTCGCTTAATATTTGTTGTCTCTTTTGTTTATTATAAGTGACTAAATACAAATGATATTATTTACATATAATTTGTATATTTAGCGCTGGTCTAATAACAAGTAAAATTAAGTGGATTTCTATTTATAGAATAAACTAATTAACATTAAAATATTGTTTTATAGATATCTAATTTTTAGACTATTTTAAATATTATTATTTTGAGAATTTTAAATGTTTTTGACAACAATTTGTTTAATTTATTATGGCAGATTCATTTATAATCTCATTGCCCTATTGATATACGATTACACATTTTATCCATAAGCCATATACTTAGCATTACACATAGACTTATCATTGTCCATAAACTTAACATTACTCATGTTATCCCTATTACATAGATTTAGCATTACCGATGTTATATCTATTCCATAGACTTAGCATTGCCTATTTTATTCTTATGTTATAGACTTAGCATTACCCATGTTATTCATATGCAATAGACTTAGCATTACCCATGTTATTCCTATGCCATATACATTACCCATGTTATTGCTATGCCATAGACTTAACATTACACATAGACCTAGCATAGCCATTGTTAAAGTAGTGCCATAGACTTAAGCTGTAAAACCATGTTAAATCCCATAGAGCGGATAGGAAGCAGAGGAAGAGGGGGTAGCCGAACGATCCTATAAACCACATTATTCATACTAAGAAAAGTGTTTAATACTACCTTCAAACTTGACTATTTTAACCGCGTACACTTCATTTTCAATTATATGCTTCACTTTATATATTATTCTTATGTTATAGACTTAGCATTACCCATGTTATTCATATGCAATAGACTTAGCATTACCCATGTTATTCCTATGCCATATACATTACCCATGTTATTGCTATGCCATAGACTTAACATTACAAATAGACCTAGCATAGCCATTGTTAAAGTAGTGCCATAGACTTAAGCTGTAAAACCATGTTGATTCCCAATAGACTCAAGAATCCAATGTTAAAGTTTAGCTATAGACTTAAGCTGGAATCCCATGTTAAATCCCATAGAGCGGATAGGAAGCAGAGGGAGAGGGGGTAGCCGAACGATCCTATAAACCACATTATTCATACTAAGAAAAGTGTTTAATACTACCTTCAAACTTGACTATTTTAACCGCGTACACTTCATTTTCAATTATATGCTTCACTTTATATACTTCCCCAAAAGCGCCCTTTCTATTAGATTTCAACTTTTCAAATGTTTTCATAAAATAATTTCTGTTTGACGTGTTATTAAGAACTGTGAATTATAATCAAATAATAATATTTAAAACATTAAATAAGTTTAATAAATGTGATGTATGTCACCATAGTGACATTTAGTACCTTGTGAACTTTGTTCCAAATGCTGATTAAAGTTAGACGCCATTTTTGAATAAAATACTTACTTGAAAATTATTTCAACAATTTTCTAACGGTAATAATTAAGGCTTCGAAATTTCGGGAATTCCCGAAAAAATAGTTAACAAAATCATCGGGAATTGCATACCATTAGCTTTAGGGGTCATAATAGGCCTAAAATATATAAGTTTTATTTTCCCGATTTTTCCCGATTTTAGTTTTGTTGTTTGTTTGAATTCATGATTTGTTTTTCTCTCTTTTCATATATAGTTTCGATTACTTAAGTATTACATGAAATCGAGATTAGAGAAGACGGATAGACCGGCGCTCTTGAATATTACACTGTTATCGAGTATACCTGCCCTCCGGTCTCGACTAACCGCCAGAATGGGCTATTGATGAATGTATTAATTGTTAATGTATTTTGTACATTTATTATTTGTTTAATGTTTCAATGGTACCCATGGCCGATTTTAAGACCAGTGAGTTTATAACTTATGGCTAAGGCTTCGAAATTTCGGGAATTCCCGAAAAAAATAGTTAACAAAATCATCGGGAATTGCATACCATTAGCTTTAGGGGTCATAATAGGCCTAAAATATATAAGTTTTATTTTCCCGATTTTTCCCGATTTTGGCACTTTTTGAGAAAATTCCCGATTTTGGTATATTGTAAGGAAAACTCCCGAAAAGCGTCTATTTTATTACAAATGTCCCAAAAATTTACTATTTTTAAGAAAAAATTATTAAAAATATAGATTTCCTATTGAAATCTTAATGAATTTGCTGACAGAATACCATAATTGCTAAAAGTTCATATAATTTGTGATACATTTATAGTATATTATAGAAAATACATGTGAATATGATGTTCACTTACAATATAAGACATTAGATACAAATTGAATATTTATTTGATTCATTATTTTTGCCTAAATAAATGTCATTATTTTGCTTCGTTAGTGCATATAAACCTTTTGAAAATCACTTAAGTACATAATTATTATGTAAAAATTCAATAAAAACGTAATTCCCGAATTTTCCCGATTTTGCCATGTATACTCCCGAATTCACACGTTTTTATTCCCGAAAAATCGAAGCTTTAATAATAATGTTTATATATTTAATACATTTATAGTTAAAATTACTAAAAATTACGATTAAATATTTTATGATTATGATTACTGATTAGTAAATGTTTTGAATTAATAAACATTTTCATTATTTAAGTGCTAAAAATCGCAACTTTATACAGAGTGAATATGTAGTTCATTGTAATATTACGATTATGATGAGCACAAATTGTATAAATTGTTTTTATTAACAAATTTACAATAATAATATATTAATAATTATATTATTCATTTAATAAAAGAACATACAATTTTTTAACAGTCCGTTATAATAGAAACTGAGAATATTGCTAAACTCGTATAAATATGTATCAACATAATATACGGCACAATATTTAAGACCTGTTGATTGGTTGCCAGCCATTTATCTAATATAATTATCAGTTTGTTTATCACACATTTTAATGGTGTGGCAATAATTGTATACTTTTTATACACTAATTGTAAAATTGATTGATCTTTTTTATGTGTATATTTTATCCTTCGACTGACGGGCCATTAACTGTATTTGGTTGTACATATTTGTAGTAGTACAGTTTACACCCAATAAATGTACACCAAAAAAGAGAGATGAGCAAGGTAGTTAATTTGCAAATAAAATTCTGAAGTGGGTTCGAAGTGGTGTGTGGGGGTGTGTGTTCAGATTCACTTTAATTATTAACAAATCAACATGTTATGTTATGGGACATGAAACTATGTCAAATAAGGAGTCGATTAATCTTTCACATATTGCTGTCCGACCTCGGGTGACCACTTTTACCAGTAATGTTAACATATCCAATACTAACATGTAAGGTTCATCGTTTCCCTCCCAAGTCTTATATCTTCCCGGAAAATAAGGAATCTTCCTAATAAAAGAATATAGAAGGGAGTGTGGGTGTGGTCACGGGTTTTTTATACGTATTGTAAAATCACGTAAACCAGTTTTAGAGATAGTAGTAAAGGGAGGTTGGTGCAAATAGAAGGCCCTTTAAGGAAATTTTTGGGAGGGAAAATAAGGGAAAATATATATCTTCCCTCCCGTAACGAACCTTACTAACATGTGATACATGAAATCAATGTAGAATTTAACGTAGAATTATAATATTTTAATATCATCTCGATAGTGTACATAAATTTTATGCTAATTGCTCAATACTGTTAAATTTTAAATAAAATTAGCCAAATAATCTATTACTTTACAACTTTTGCACACCACACCATCATTACCACCAATCCCAGACTACAACCTCAAGCTTTGACTTTATCTTACGCCAACCTCAGCATATACCAAGAAAAATATATAAATCACATCAAATCTAAGCAACCCATCAAGATTATATTACTATATTATAATTCTACGTTAAAATCTACATTGATTTCATGTATCACGTGTTAGTATTGGATAAGTAAAATTTTCCGATAAAAGTGGTCACTGCAGCTGAACCCAAGGTCAGACAGCCATATATGAAAAATTAATCGATTCCGTATTTAACATGGCTTCATGTTACATAACATTAATTTGTTAATTTGTGAAGTAATTAAAGTAAATCTGAGCACATACCCTATTCGCACCCACTTCAGAATCTTTATGAGCAATAATTTGCTACTAACATAGACACCTTGCTCATCTTACCTATCCAGTCATATTTAAATTAATGAGACTCTGAATGTCTATTTTTGTGTGACTGAGGCACAGGTTAGGCAGATATCACTTATTAATACACTTATTGAATAAAATAATAAATTTTACTTAATAAAATATTTCTATCTATTATCATATGAAAATTTACAATTTATAATTTTACTATTGTTAAATTATAAAACATAATTTTTACGCCCATAATTAATTAATATATTTGTTACATAAGTGCGAATTAAATATAAAAATAGTCTTGTAATTAAATAAAACATTAAATTGTAATAATCAGTAAAATCTGTTGGAAACACAGATATTTTCATAGATTATGTGACACAAACTTGTTTTGTGGAAAAAATATTGCTTCAATAAAATACATCATTAAAATTATCTATAAATTAACATTGATCATATAATTTATCTAATATATATAGATTTATTAGAATATGTATTATAATACAATATTTACATTTTTAATTGACATTATAAACTTTTAATAATTAAATGATTTTATGACATTTAGAGAGAGTGTTCACTTCATGTTCAGAATGCATTGCAGTGTGACCACCTCTTGCTCAGCAAAAAGAGCACATTTTACATATTTGTTTATAAAAAATAGAGAACAAATAGAGAACAAAAAATTTATTGAATATTTCACAATTATTACTTAAATTTATATTTAGAATATCTAAATAATCTTATACATAATATTATGTTATAAATGTAAAAATTAACTGTAATATTTGAAAATTATTAATTTACTAAAATACTGTAAATCTCTCTCACAAGTGAAGTACAAGTCTTACGTAACACGGATCTTGATGCAATTAGTCTTGGTTGTGGTTTAGGCCAAATAAAAAATATAAAGTTAATATAATTTATATAATTAAATAGTCAATATAAAGTTATATATCGGGCTGATATCCATAA